AACCCCCCCCCCCCCCCCCCCCCCACCCGCGCTCAGCCGAGTACTGCGCGACACAGCACTGGAGGAAACGTGGCGCTCTGCGCGATATGAAGAAGATGTGGGAATTCCGCGAATCTGTCACAAGAATGAAGAGTCGCATTATTGTTTGGCCAGCCAAAACTCCAGTTTGCAAGTGGAGAGAAAAACACTTTGGGCCAGGAAACAGAGGGTGACGTCGGCTAAAGCCGGGTGTTGTAGCTGCGGTTTTCCTCAGGCAGGCCAGGAAGCAGAGGGCGACGTCGGCCAGAGCCGGGCGTTGTAGCTGCGGTTTCCCTCAGGCAGGCGTAATCGTTATCGAGGGGGAGACGTTTCGGCTTGACTGCAGTCTACTCTCATTGTCATCCATTCCTCTCGTCCTTGTGCTTGGTCGAGAACCCGGCGTGCTCCGTCCCCCAGCTTTGTAGGGATGCGAGGTCAATGGTCTAACGACTTTGCACGACTTTGACCACCCCCCCCCCCCCCCCCCCCCCCCCCCCNCTCCTCTTGTTCTCTCTGTTCTCTCTTCTGTCTCGAGGGGAAGCGAAAAGAGGCACGTTATGGGTGCAATGTCTCTTGTCTTCTCTCTTTCGTCCTCCCTCGCCGTACTTNCCTCTTGTTCTCTCTGTTCTCTCTTTTGTCTCGAGCGGAAGCGAAAAGAGGCACGTTTTGGGTGCAATGTCTCTTGTCTTCTCTCTTTCGTCCTCCCTCGCCGTACTTGTACCTACATTCGGTTGACTGGCTGACGTGTTGCCACTGGTGGTGCTCTTATTCTCGTAACCCGGAAATCTCTTTCCTGTCATCGGGCGGACGTTCGCAAAAGACCAAGGACTGCTGTCCACGTACGCAAAGAAAGCAAGGATATCACGCAAAAAGACAAAGGAGGGCCACGAAGATCCTACCCAACCATAGAACTCACGCTTCCTGCTTCGCCGATTCAATACTAGTTCCGGCATACTTGCTTGCTTCGAAAAAACTGTGTAGACCGTAGTGTAGTACTGATAACACGAACGAACAACGAAGCAGGTGGTATGCGGAAGGTGCCACTCCTTCAGCGCGCACCTGTACGAAAACCTAGCGGCAGAGCTCGGCCTGCGCGACGGCATGACCATGAAGAGCGACTTCTGCAACGACCTGGTCACCGCGTGCGACGGCCAGATCGACTTCCCGACGTACAACAACAACACCGTGGACTACTGCACGAAGCACACTGGCGGAGGGGACGACTTCTTCTGGTCGTACCCCTACGAAGAACGTGAGTCTCTACCGCTACGAGGAACGTGAGTCGTACACCTACAAGGAACGTGAATCTCTAAGAAACCTGTCAAGGCGACAGCACATTACCTCCAGTCGCTGTACAACTAACCCCTCAGCTATTGCTACAAAGTAGCTGGCATGTGATGCGTGGTTAGGTAGACGAAAACACACAGAGTGATCACCGCAGACGCCCAAGCTGTCTTCACCTGACGGTTACAGACTTGGCAACGCCTTCACGATACCGCGTGAACCCATGCAGTAGAATAGAGGCGTTCTTGTGCCGCAATTACTCAACAGTGTACCCTCACGAGGAACGTGGGTCTATGCCCCACCTAATGGCATCTACCGCGCTAACCGGCTGACCACGGCGTGTGTGTGTGTGTTTATTATTAGCATCGACCGCGCTAACCGGTTGAAAACGCAAACACTTCTATCTGCCATGAACTGAGACCGTGAGGGGGCAACATGGAGGAGGCCAAACTATCCTTCGGATTAAAGACAGAAACAGCAGCAACAGAAGAAAACTGGACGCGTCTACCAAGGCTATTACCTTGTACTCTTGTTCGTTTACGAGTACTTTCACCATTATCCTACTTGTTTTCGCTACCATCATTCTGATCCTCATTTTGACGAGAATCTCTGGGCAGTTCTTCCTTCGCCCTACGTTTTTTGTTCTGGGGAAGGCCATCTGGCTCAAACCCCTTGCTCGCTTCCACTCCTCCATATTTTCCTACTCCGTCGTTGTCTTCGTCCTCCTTTCTTCCCTTTCCCTTTCCTTCGTCTCCGTCACTCCGAAAAGAATTATCCTCGTTA